AGAAAGAAAGAAAGAAAGAAAGAAAGAAAGAAAGAAAGAAAGAAAGAAAGAAAGGAAGGAAGGAAGGAAGGAAGGAAGAAAGAAAAATGAAGGAAGAAAGAGAGAGAAAGAGTTAAGGTAAAGAGAAATAAAAGTGTACAGAACCGTAAAGGATTTTTACAAAGGACTTTAGGAGACACTGGTTAAGAACAGAGCAAAGAGACAATAGGACTTCTAAGAGCAGATGCTCCTACGGCTCTGGAGTTCATAAAATTTTAGTGCTAATGGGAAACATAAAGTGCAGTTAGTAAACCTCCTTCACTTACAGAGAAGGAAACTGATGCCAAGAGAGGTTGCTACTTGCCAAAGTGCTATAACTAGTCAGAGGCAATGCTTGCAGAAGTGGCTGCTGAAATGATAGTTTGAGCAGGAAACCCTAAAGGAGCCCATGCAAGCTGAAATTGCTGAAGTTTCTTCTGTTCCAGATCATGGCAGTGAGCCTGCAGCTCAGGGACCAGAAACCTGACCATAATCCCCAGAACCCAACCCTGAGCCTGGCCGTTAGATGAAAAGAACAGCAAAGAACTGGAAATCATCAGTGATTAATCACCACTGTCCTTGTGCCCTGAGGTGTCCTTATGTTATTCTGACTCTGTGACTTTGGGACTGGGTGAAAGGGGAGTTCCTTTTGTATAGGGCATTTCACAACCCTGGTTATCATTTTATAGACGATAGCCACCATAGCTATTAACACTGAGCAGTTATTTTGATCATACTCTAGTATAAGGACTGTACATGTCCTTTATTCTACTTGATCTTCAAGTTAACTGTATGAAAGAAGATAATGATATTAAAGATAAGGAAAATGAGACAGAGATTGGTAAATTACTGTGCATTTTCAATAACTAAAGAATATTGGAGTTAGGACTCTTAACTCAAGCATCCTATCAAAGCTATATGCTCCCAACAAATAAGAAAATTAAGGTTTAAAAAAGTGATATTACTTCAAAGTCTCACAGTGAGTAGGGGTTTGGACTCAAGTCCTCCAAAGCCAAAGCCCATGTGTATCTGACTGTGTCAGGCTAGAGAAGAGGACAGGGAAAATTTGAGGGCCCTGATTTTGACGGGAAGAAGGCATATGCGTATACAACCCCCCCCCTTTACTACAGTATATTATATGTCGAGCTTCCCTTGAAAGACAGAATCTTACTTTCCTCTCTCTGTCCTGAAGCATATTAATCTGAGTTTAGGGAACTCCTTACTAAAACTGTACATTTGGGGACCAAGCAGAACTAAGTTTCAGGAGCACAGGTAGCAAGCACTAAAAAATGCCTGAAGCCAGGGTGCTGAGATCCACAAATGCTGAAAGTAGGCTTGGTAAGCAATGTGATCTCAGCTCTCACCTGCTGCACTGTCAGAAGTAGCACTTAGACAGTAGAGGAATTGTGTTTTCAATGGAAAGGGATTTCTTGTTTTACGCTGCAAGCTATTTTTTAAATTAAATTATACACAATGCCTACTTCAGGCTGAGTTACAAAAAAGTGGCAGCATTTTGGGAATTGCCCTTGCAGAGTTGGGACTACAATTTTTAATTTCAAAACATGATTATTTAATGATCCACAGGTAATTGGAGACTAAGCAATACTAAATAAATCCATTATAGAATAATTTATGTGCCAGAATACTACCTCAACTTTGGTGACCTTAGGAGAAACCATATTTATATCTTAAATGTCAATTTCAAAAAGCAATTATTGAAAACTAATCAGAAAACAGAAAGGCATAGAATAAAATCAAGAAAGTTGCAGAGTCTTGGAAAATATTTTATTGGCTGCTGAAACATTCTCCCTCTGTTAGTAAACATAATTGCTGTATAGTGGCCACATCCATGACTGCTTTCTTCAGCAACTTTCTTTTATTCAATAAGTGATTGGTTTTGGTTTGGTTTGAGGGACTGAATCCTGGGCATTTGCACTGAGCTATATTCCCAGCCCTTTTATATGTTAAGGTAAGGTCTCACTGAATTGCTCCGTGCCTCAAACAGGGCTCACAGTTGCAGTTTTCCTGTTTCAGCCTTCCAGAGTGTAAATAAGGGCTCTCGCTCTCTTTTCTTTTGCAAGGGTTGAAAAACTATAGCATATGTAAGAGGTGCCATCACTGGGTATACGTTTCCAAGCACCAGTGTTTTGCCAAAGGATATGGGTTTTAACACCATCCATTCCTCACCCGTATCTGCAAGCAAAGGGAAATGAGTTAGAAAAGATACACTGTGTTATGATGTGTCTAGTTATCCCCCTAAAGCCTCATGTTGTCAAAGGGCTTTTATACAGGTGGCTGAATCTAGAGTATGTGATTACTAACCAGTCCACTGATTGGTTTGGCACTGCCCTAATCCCAGCAGTCTGGATAAGAAATAATGGGCAGGGGCTGGGGATTTAGCTCAGCGGCAAAAGCGCCTGCCTGGCAAGCGCAAGGTCGTGAGTTCGGTTCCCGGTACCGGAGAAAAACCAAAAAAAA